CTACAGAAACTGGAAAACCAGCATGGCCGGCACCAGAGGCAGAGACCACACCTCGGTAGGAAAAAGAGCGTGGTGAAGGCAGAAGCCGCGAGAAGCAGCCCACGGGTCCGACGCACCCAATCGACTGATCGAGTCGGACCAGTTGGACTTACTGGGTACCCACTCCCAGTAGACCCAAACTTGAAGAGAGAAGAGGGCCACATGAATGAGGTGTGCCAGCCGCTCGAGGTCGGGGGAATCGGAACGCCCTCGAATGAGTGCCATAAGCGCGGCTACGTTGTCAATATACCATGTGTCACGACGAGAACGAAAGGTAGAAGCCCGAGCTGTGAGGGCGAAGAGGACCATTGAAAGCTCGAGCTGCGCGATTTTAACCTCCCCCGGGAGAAAGGCATCATACGAATGCCGATCGACCTGTGCCACGAAGGCTTCGCGGCCGGGCTCACTGCCCGGCCAGAGCAACAGGAAACCGCCCGTGCCCTTGCGCGGTTCGTCCTCCGCGGCATCGCTAGCTGCGACGAATCGGGCACAGGGGGAGGGGAGCACCTCCACGGACCGACGCGGTCGCAGTGCCAAGATGGCTCGGATAACCTCGAATGACGAGCGGACAGCTGGGGTCAACTCCCGAGCTGCCTCGTACTGGCGTTCCTTGAGGGCGCCGATGCCCCCCGTGCCAATACGGCCATACACCCCCTGTTCGAGGAAATTGAGCATGCCATACAGCTTCGACGCCAATCCTGGCGGCAGGTAATTATCCTGCTCAGCCTGCAACAAAAGGCCCTCGACCTTGGCCTGGAGCCTGGACCGGACCCAGAACCTTACGACGTGGTGACGCCCCACGTCGCGGAAGTCCCACTCCAGCCCGAGAAAGTCGCCGACTGTGCTCATCGGCTGTCGCTTTGCCTCCGCGAAGGGGGAGCCCAGAAGTTTGTTGACCTCGGAGAAGGCGAACTGGGCTGAGCCCTTCGCAGAAGCCGGGTCGGTAAGGTGCGCATCATCGAAATACATAGAGACCAAGACACAGACGAGCCGGCGGCCCACCGCCTCGGAGAAACGGCTGAGCCGATTGAAGCTGGTCACTGCCAAAGGGAGCCCAAAGAGAAGACCGGAATATACCTGGTACGCCGGCTGGGCCCAATCCTTGTGGTACCATACCACCACGCAGGCCCTGGACTGGTTCTCGTCCATAGGGCAATGGCGATAGGCGTCCGGCCAGTCTTCGCCGCCGCCTTCCCACTGGTCTTCCTCCAGCAGGCGGCGGGCGACCGCCGGGCTGGCGCATCGCATTGCCAAGGAAACATGCTGGGCCGGGCGGAGGGCTGAGCACAACACCAACTTGTTAGAGTCAGAGCTTAGCTCGCTCTGTCCTCCATGGTCCGCGTTGTCGATCACCCTCTGCTTCCCGGAAGCCTGAGAAATCACGCACCTTGGTATCAAACGAATCGGTTTGCCCTTGGTGTGGCGAAGAAGCTCCGACCAAGACAACGGTGCCGAACAAAACCCCGCTTCGAAGTCCTTGGTAGATTGCTCCAGCAAAAAGTCATCGTGTGGGCCTGGCCGAATAGATCCTTGGACAGCTTTGTTGTGGGAGTCCACGTTCTCGAAAAGACGATGGAGAGGAATTGTGTCGAAGCCCTGCTGTGGGAAGACTCCGCAGGGGAGAGAGGTACCGACCGCGGGCATGCCGAACAAGAGGTGTGAAGGGAGAGTGGTGTCCGGCCAAGACAACAGAACGACGAAGAGACTGAGCAAGCCCAGGTCCCGCTGGGCCGTGACCTTCCGGACTGCCGGGGTCTGGAGCTTACGCAGGTGGTCCCCCACATGGCTCCAACGACGCTTCAACTCCCGAAGCGGGCCGACACACTCGCGCCTCAACTCGCGAAGGCGGCCAAGAGACCCGACAGTCATCGCTCCCGCAAAGTGGAGGTCTTGGTCCAAGACCGGAGGGTGTTCTGTAGGCAAGGGGTCGTCCCCCCTAGCCAAAGCCTGCCGGAAGTGCTCATCCGGGGACAGGCCGAAGGGGAGGAGGGGGGGGAGCGCCGTGCTCCCTGAAAGCGCCCCCGCTTGCTGACCCTCCGCTGTGCGCTGCATCAACCTGCAGGCGGGGTCAGAGAGAGAAGGGCCCAACGCGCCATCCCAGCGAAGCCCTTGTTCCCGCAGAAAAAAGAGTGAAAGGAGGACTGTTCACCAGGTCCTCGATGAAAGGAAAGACGAAGCCACGGAAGGCCGAGGAAGGAAACAGGCTGCGGAAAGCCGTGATGACAGACTCCTGCGGAGAATAGGGAATAACGTGGGCGACAGAGGCCGGTATCTGGGTGAAGGCGGCCCACGCGGCACTCCCTGCCGGGGCTGGCCGACCCTGCCAGCTGCCTCCACTCCGGCCAATTCGTACCACACCAGACCTGCCAGGACGTCCCTTTCACACAAGGAGCCCAAGGGGCAATCGCAGACAAGGGTCGCGCCCTGCAAGTCGGGGAGAGATGTCCAGAAATTGCAAATGATGTGCTCGACAAAGAGATGCATCCACTCGGAAGGGGAGCAGTCGTGTCCTGGAGTGTACGGGGAGCACCATTTGCTAACTGGTACCTGGCGGCAAGGACGGGTCGTGCAACTCGACCTCGCCCACAGCTCGCCCAAGTGGAACCAGGCGGTCTATTCCCGGATCATGTGGGCGTAAACCCAGGAACACAGCCATGGGCTCCACTGCCCAGTCTGCACGCGCTCGGGGGTTAACGTCCGCCCAATGCTCGCGCCGACCCACCGGCTCCACCAACGGCCATCGATGGACCGAAAAGGCGAAGCAGGCCGTGGGAACGGGCGAAAACCCTCGCGACCCCTCCGTCAAGGGGTCACTCCCCTGAGGCAGGTGGCGGTGGTGGCAGCGAACCGAAGGCCACTGCTGGAGCTCGGCCACGTTGTGTCGAAGGAGTCTAGTATGCTTGTGCACGTCGAGAAAAACGCAGGAGTCATACCAAAGATCGAGCCAAACCGCTGAAGGACTGCTGGCCGAGCCTGTTTCTGGAGGAACCCCCTCCTGAACAACGGCAGCCCCCCCAGAGGCACAGCCTTGCAACAGCTGCTCCAACGAGTCGGGCGAGAAATGCAATCGGCCTCTTGGGTCAGGCGATCGGCGGCCAAGACTCTCCAACCGCAGTCTTCGCGGTGAAGCATCACCAGGCAAGGGGTCAACTCCCCTGCAAAGGGGGAGTCCGCGACCCCGGGCTCAGCATCCGGGCCAGGGCCCCATCACGAACTCCTCGCTTTCGCCTTGGCCTTGCACTTCGCCGCCCCATGGTTGGGCGCACCACAGACGCGCTCGGCCCGGAGAACCACGGCGCAGCGATTCGGGCACGGGGGTGCATGCTTGCAGGACCCTCTCTGGTAGTCACCGCAAAGCTTGGTGCCATCTTTCATGACACGGGCTGTGGGCTTACCTCCCACCATGGGGCCCGAGACGAACAAGGAAGACTTGGTTGGCTCAGTGATCACTGGCTGGGGCTTCGGCGCAACTGGCCCTGCCTCCGGCAGCGCTGGCGCCAACCAGTGGGCCCTCTTTAATATCTGCTCCGAGTGTCCGGGTCCCCTCCCGGAATCGCGAGACCCACTCCGCTCGCTCCTCGGCGTCCCGATGCTGAAGCCAACCCAGCCGCTGCGCGGGAGCAACTTGCATTGCGGCCTTACGGGCTCGGTAGTAGTATGCCAGCACACAATCCAAAGGCACCTCGACGAACTGGCAAGAGTTGGCGCCCAGCGCTTTCTCTCCCGCCGGGTCAACTCCCGCGATCACCTGCACCCCGTTGAGCGCGTATGCGATCATAAGCGTGTGGAGCTTGTGAAGGTATGTGTCCACATCCCGAGCGACGACCTCGTCGACTTCAGGCTCATCGGTATAGAGGCCGTCAGCCAGCTTGCGCCGCTTTTGTGAGGTGCCTAATTGGAATTGTAGGGATCGCACTCGCCATACGTCATATATACAGAGCATCCTTTTGGAGAGTTCCCGAGAGATGCGGGAGACTGTTGCGTCGGAGGGTTGCACTTCGGCAGGAAAGCGCAACTTGTAGCGAATCCAAAAGGCTTCCTTCAACGTGCGAAGTTCGGAGTCTGCCAAAATCGAGTCGAGGTCGGCCAAGGCAACCTTAGAGCGGTCTTGCTCCGCCTGGGTGTAGTATGTGCATGTTGCCTTCCACGCCCTACGAAGGCGGGCGGTCTGCAACATAGTGGCGTCCCCTAGGCCCAACTTCCCCACCCAGGTACCTATGGCCGCCTCGTTCTCGAATAAGAAGCGAAACTCCTCGAGGTGGCGAATCCCAGTGCCGAGCACTTCTGCGACCACCTTGGCGTCCAAACCGAAATTCATCTGCAGGCTATCCATGCTCGCCTTAATGTCCTGCTCCACTCGAGGGACAAGCGAAACTGACGACATGGGGCCTACGTCGAGGTCGACCCCCCGAAGAGCCTGCACGAGGGTCAAACTCCCAGCCTATCGCCAGCCTCCGCGATCCCCTCGGTCAGCTCCGAGGTTGCGGTACCTTCGAGCAAGGCGAGGACCAACTGACCGGACCGAGAAGAAAAGAGAGAGAGAGAGGAAGAAGAGAGCAGCAGGCAGCAAAGCAGGGAAAAGAGGGTGGGGGCTAGGGACAAGGTGCAGGCACTCAGTCACGACTGCATCACCACAGCCACTGCTCCTACACTCTGCGCCCGCAACCCTCTTTTTCTCGCTCCTCTTGCTAAGATACGGTACCAGCCACGGCGGGCACACGGGCTCTTATGCGGCACCCGCAAAATAGATTTGCTGGTGGCGAACTTCGAATTACCGGCATATCGTGGCGAAAGCCTCGCTTCGTCGAGGTGCCTATACCGGAAAATACTTGGAGGATGCTCGTGAAAAGCAGCCCTCACAGATGGGTCGCTCCCATCCAATGGCCTCTAGCTTGCTAGTCGTGCGCTGCGGGTTGGCCAACCGGCGCCTCTCGATACCCTGCTTGTGCTTGCAGATAGGAACGCCTTCCTCCGGGGACTCGAGGTGGAGGTGCGAGCTCGCAGTGGCGATGTATCCGCGTGGCTGCACAGGTGTTGGGGGGACACGTGTGTTACGCACGGCCCCGGCCAACCACGGACCCAGGCTGCGGTCTTGCTGGATAGCGCGATCCACCTCGATCTGCCTCACCCTCAGGATCGCCTGGTTCGCCTCCTCCTGGGTCTCGCCTGCCAACACCGCCCGGCATGCGACGCCGGTAGTCGCAGCTCTGTGCCGGCCCGCCATACAGTGGAGTAATACATTGTGGCCCGCCAAAAGCGTGCGTGCGACTGCACTGAAGATGCGGAGCCACTCTTCCTCCCTGAGACGTTGAACAGCAGGTTCCGGCTGCACAGGGCTATGCCTCCCCGTTGTTCCGGGGTTCGATCCATACAAGTAATCTGCAAATGGATCGTCGGGAATTGGCCACTGGTTTCCCGCAGCGGCAAGCCGGACAGGAAAAGACGCCCTCCTGCCGGCGATTCCCAAATACAGGTGGGGCGCTGGACTGGGCGCCTGCCCGCCAAATTGTCGAAGACCGCCTGGTTCTCAGCCTCTGTGGGGTCCGGCGCCGGCGGGGTCCTGAAGGCCTTGGGCATGGCTTTGATTTTCGGGGCAGGGGAGCTGCCTGAGCCCCGACCCGTGGAGCCTGTCGCTGCTGCCGTGTCAACCCGGCGTACCGGAGCCGGTGCCTCGCGCCGGTGACCCAAACCTGCTCCTGCCCCCCAAGGTAACGCCCCCGGAGGCGAAGCCAGGGGAAGCGGGGGAGCCACGTCACCACCTGTCGCCACCCTCCTTCTGGAGTCTCGCCGGCCATCACCTTCGGCCGGTGCGTCGGCCGGACGCCGTCGGGAAGCAGGCGCCGGCTCTGGCGATTGTCCGGGGACGACGTAGCCGGGAGGTAGGCCATATTTCTTTGTGCGGCAGTCCAGGGCCGCATGCTTCCCGCCGCAGACTCTGTCTGTAGAGAGCTTGGTGGCAGCGCACCTGTGGAGGAAAGGGCAATCGGATCCACGCCGACAGTCACCCAGGTTAAAGCCGGTGCGCCGTCCTTGAAGTTCTGCGACGTCTTGTGGCGGCCAATATAGGGCGGCATGGGGGAACCAGGTGCGGGCACCTCCGCAGCAGCCGAGCTGGGCCGGGCCGAGCTGCTCGCCACTGCCTTAGGCTCCGCCCTGCGCTTCGACCGCAGCTTCGCAAGAGGTAGCACCGGGCCGGCCAAAGACCTGCGTGCAAGAGGGGCAGCCAACCTCATGGTAAACTTCTTGGGCTTATGCGCGGCGAAGGCGGGTCCCTGCCACAGGAGCTCCTTGTCAGCCCTGACCTGTGTTTCGCAGAGGGACTGGGCCAAAGTCGTGTGCTCCGCGACGTCCTGCGGGGTCACCGCATCCCACGTCGGATAGGGGCGCAACTCCCCCATATAGGCCCACACCAAGTGCTTGACCCGGACGCTCTCCTTGTAGCGCAACCCACTGTAGTGGACGGGCATGGCACTCCTCTGGTCAGAAACTCGATCTTGCCAGTCCCCAAGGGCGTTCGACTCGCCCGGCGAAAGCTGCGCCAGCATAGCCACAGAAGGGCCCAACCGGCGCCAGCTATAGGAGGTCAGCTCCTCCGGATTGGCCACCACGTCCGTGAAAGCCGCCTGCACGGCCAGGGTAGACTCCCTGAGGGACCACGAGAAGCCCCGAGCATCGAAGCATAGCCCGCACTGGCTCCGCCTGCCTTTGGGCAGGGCCTCGAAGGCTTCTTTCCAGGGCTCGGTCCAGTTCCATCCAGAAGCAAAGGCGGCCGGAATGGCAAAGTAAAAACCCTGCCGCAGGCGGCGCTTTGCCCTTGTTGCAGAAAGCATGCACGGTCGACCCCGTGATGCGCAGGACCTCGCTCCTGCGAAGGTGGGCATACCGCATGCAGCTGGAGGCCTGCATCCATTGCCCCAGCATCGCAGTCCACCGAGGGTCGCCCATAATGCACCGTTCCTCAATAACCTTCTCCAGGTGAACCAGCATCGGCGGTTCGGCCAAGGTGGCCTGCCGCTCGTCCCTGGGCTTCCGGCGCTGCTCAGTCCGGGGTGCATCCGGAATCTTCCAGGTGAGCTCCGCTTGCTTGGCAGCCCACCGCAAGCCCGCCACGGCACACCGATGAGGAGCGGCCGAGTTGAAGATGAAGGCGTCCAGGTCCAGGGTGTCCACCTCTTCAAGCCCGTCTCTGCCCCGGGCAACCTGGAAATGCTGAAGTTCGCGGAGAGAGACCACGGCCTTCTTGATCGTGGCCACTTCCGCTTCGCTGCACACTTTGGCAGCACGGCGCCTCACAAAGTTCTCCCACTCAGCTTGGCGCCCCGCGTTGAGCTCACCGCTCGGGCGCTGAACCTTGGCATCTACCCAAAGGTCGGCAAGTTCCTCGACCAATGGTGTCCGGCTGCCCGCGGCCGCGGCAAAGGCGGGCGAGGCTTAGTGGAGGGTTTGGCCGCCGCCGCTCCAGCTTGGGCTGCCTCATGTGCGAAAGCCAGAGCCTTGCCCTCGTCCACTCGCTCGCGGACTTCGCGCCATTTGGCCGCGATTTCTGCTCCAGCTTGCCTCTGCGCCTCTTCCGCCGACATAAATACGTAGGCGAACTCCTCGTCATCGGCCAGACCAAAGGCGCGGCGCCAAGCCTCCACTCGGACCTCTACCGGGGTACCCTCCCCGAAGAGGCCGGAGGACGGGGGGCTGGCTATCGCCATCTCCTGCCGCCTCAAGCGACTGCTGGGCATACACACCGGCCATCGCAGCTGCTAGCAAAGGCCTGAGCCGAGAAGCCGCCGTGGAAGCTGATCGCGAAGGCCGGGCAACAGCAGAGGCAGAGCAGGAGAAGGACTCAAGACCGGGCGGGTCGCCACCGCCGGACAAAAAGCCAGGTCCCCTCCTGACTGCAGCCCCTTCCCTAGGGCTTTGGGGGTCGCCACCCCAATATAAAAGCCTGCCGGCGGTCGACTCCGCAACCACTGGCTCCTGCCAGAACGAAGAAAGGGAGCGCCCCTTTCGAGGCTCTCCGTCCTCACGCGCACCCCAGGCAGCGTCCCAGGCAGTCCCCACAAGCTGCTGAATCGCAGCGTCTGCAGCGGAATGCTGTCGGAGCGCCGCAGCTGCGACAGGCCGCGGGTAAAAGGCCCGGTCCATAAGAAACGGCCCCAAGCCATAGCCACAACGTCCTGTGGGCCCTGTCTCTGGCATCAGCTCGGCCAGCCTCCCAGGAAGGAACACCCTCCCCGGTTTCAAGCCAGACTCGACTGCCGGCCTGCCAATGTCGGAATACCAGCCACAGCTCCCCCGAAGAAGACGCGCGGGGGTGGGACTGATCCGCCACCCTCCGGAAAAGTGCGTAGAGGTGGTTCGGCAGCAAATCTGTTGGCCAAAGCCCAGAATGAAGGGCCGTGACGTCGCCAGCCGACAGATAGGAGCGACATGCATGGTAATCACTCCACGCTTGAGCCGGGTCACTCCCTGGACGAACAATTGCTGCTGCACGTGTAAATGTACCCACAAACGGCAGCTGGAACCCTCCCCGGCTCTGGGCGCACCGGGCACAGTCCGTGGCGACACACGGGATCGTGCGGATAGGTGGCAGACCTGGAGGCAACCCCTCAAGCAGCGGAGGGGGGGGAGGGTAATGCTGGATCTCGAGGGCTGAAGCCCACAGCCTGGCAGCGTCCTCGTTCCGACCCTCGGAAACCAAGCGCCGAAGCTGTGCCCTAATATCCAACATGGCCGCTGGGTGCAACACCTGGGCCTCAGTGTGAACAGCAAAGCGGCTGAACACAATTGCGAAGAACGCAGGAGACCCCTGCTCGAAAGCATCTGCCATAATAAGCGGGACACCACCGCAGACTAATGGCAACAAAATCCTGCCTTTTTGGCTCAACTGCCAAGGCTTGAACCAAAAGGCATGATATCGATCGCAGATGATACATGTGCACCCAAGCCTGCCAAACTCTACACATGGTATATATATATATATATATATATATCTATATATATGTACGCATATGTTTTTATGTCGTGTGCATATATTTGTACACACATACGCACACACACACACACACACACACATATACAGGTCACATACATATACAAGTATCTGTGTGCCTGCGTTTATATGTGTGCCTAGGCGTGCGTGTATGTATGTGTCTGGGTGTGCATGAATTGGAAAGGTCGTAAACAGAGATATACAAAACAGCTTCAGCTGTAGATGCACATGTCACATGGGCATGTGTAAGGCATTTGTCATGTCTTGTGATAACTTTTTCCCTCCGCAGAGGGTCCAGTATCAATAGAAACACACATTGATCATGGTGTCATCGTCAATTTAGCGAGAGGACATCTGGACTTGAGATACAATCATCGACTGATATCTCTCGAGCCCCAGATGCTCAAGCCGTGTGCTGAATGCAGCCATTGCCAACATCCAGCTGGTCGAAGCTGACGAAGCTAAGTTGCTCTCATTCGCTTACTCTTCGCATTCCTCCTGCATGGAGGAGGTCTCCCCATCGCCGGCCACCCCGTCGTCCATGAGTTGGACCATCTGCTCCAAGTTGGCCTCTGAGTACAGGGTCGGCACCGAGGCATTGAAGCCGAGCTTGGCCTCCAACCCCTGGCGAAGGCCCTTGAGGTTCGCCATGGCATCCTGCTTGCATGGCGCCGCAGGGCCAGAGACGCGAGCCACAACCTACAAAAACCTGACAACCTCCAACCTTCGAAGAAGCTTTTATGAGTAGCTAGGACTAGCAGACTAGCAGCCTTCAGCTCGTTCAGCTGCTCCAAGCGCCGGGGGGTGGGCACGGTGTAGAGCTTGTTGATCTCCTCCTGCTTCTTGGGGTTCTTCAGGACGCCGCCCTTGGCACAGGCGGCATGCACGGCGGCGCCGTAGGGGGCCATGGCGGCGGCGGCCGTGATGATGCCCGAGATGCTTGCGCCGCAGAGGGCGCTGACGTCCAGGAAGTCCTGGCAATGCACGACGATCAAGTTGATGAAGGTCACGACCTGGCTCATGTAGGCGATGGCGCCGCCAATGTCCACCGTGCAAAGTGCACTGTAGATGCCGGTAACCTGGATGTTGCTCGGGCACTTATGATGCCTCCTGGAAGTATTTAGTCCTAGCAGAATCAAAAATTCTTGCCCTGCCGTTGCGCTCTGCTGTTGCAGTAGGTGCCACGGCTAAACTGACTAAACCTAAGCCGGCCACCTTGTTGATGGGCCCGTTGAGGCTGACGCGGCCGCATTGGCCACTGTTCACCGCTGAGTTGATGGAGATTCCCATGTTGGCGAGGTTGGCCACCACCATGCCAACGTCCACCCCGCATTGCACACCAACTCCAATCGGACCCTGTCCAATGAGCAGTCGTCGGCCGTCGCGCACGGTCTGGTCTCCCAGAACGCTGATCTTGGTGGTTGTCAGCTGTGGGGGAACCCCAGTGCATGTGGCCGCCGCCAGGGAAGCGGTCGCGGCCAGCTCGCCCATCACAGAGACCAGGCCGGTCACACCGACGGAGCACACCGCATCAACATTGAGGTTGAGGGCGCAGTTCGTGGCGGCGTAGGATAGCTTGGCAGCCGCGTTAGCCACCCAGGTCACCAGAATGGCTCCGTTCACCTGGCATGTTTGACGCATCTTCGTACTCGCATGCAATGGCAATTGCACAGACTAACACCGTCATGGCTGGCCTCTCACTTATCCATATTTCTGTGCTGCTGCTTCTGCTGTTCTGCCGCGGCTGCTGCCGCTGCTGCAGGTGCTGCCGCTATTGCTATGGCCATTGCCATTGCTATTGCTGCTGCTGCCACTCCTACGCCTTCTCCCACTCCGACTCCTCCTCCTCCGCCTCTCCTCTCCTCCTCCTCCTCCTCCTCCTCCTCCTCCTCCTGCTCATCCTGCTCATCCTGCTTATCCTGCTCCTGATACTACCACTAAGGCTACTACCACCACCACCGCCACCACCACCACCACCACCACGACTGCTACTACTGCTACTGCTACTGCTGCTACTACTGCTACTGCTACTGCTACTGCTACTGCTACTGCTACTGCTACTGCTACTACGACTACACTTCTTCTACTACTACTACTACTACTACTACTACTACTACTACTACTACTACTACTACTACTACTACTACTACTACTACTACTACTTGTTCTTCTTTCCTCGCAGCGGAGTCCACGAGCCGTATATATATATATATATATATATATATAGATATGTATCGCCGGTGCCTGCACTGGCACACTCTGGTTTCAGAGCCTGTTCACTTTGGCACGAATGCCAGCAAGTAGCGTCCTACTACTACTGCTGCTGCTGCCGCCTACTACTGCTGCTACTACTACTACTACTACTACTACTACTACTACTACTACTACTACTACTACGACTACTACTACTACTACTACTACTACTACTACTGCTGCTACCGCTGCTGCTGCTGCTGCTGCTACCACTACCACTACCACTACCCTCCCACTACCCTCCCACTGCCACCACTACTACTACTACTACTACTACTACTACTACTACTGCTACTACTACTACTACTACTACTACTACTACTACTACTGCTACTACTACTACTACTGCTACTACTGCTATTACTACTACTGCTAATTACTACTACTGCTAATTACCACTACTACTACTACTACTACTACTACTACTACTACTACTACTACTACTACTGCCACTGCCACTGCTACTGCTACTGCTACTGCTACTGCTACTGCTACTGCTACTACGACTACTAGTACCACGACTACTCCTACTACTACTACCACTACCATTACTACTACCACCACTGCCACTGCCACTGCCACTCCCATTAACACTACGACTACCACTACTGCTATTACTGCTGCTGCTGCTGCTACTACTACTACTGCTGCCGCCACTGACTCCACTACTGCCACAACCACAAGCACAATGAACGGCTAGTTTGCAGCCATCGGTACTCAACACTATAAGCACTGCGTCAAACACCTTTCCAAAGCCACATTAGCCATGTCAAACTAGAACTACAGGGCTTGAAGTGGTGGTGCAACTCTTCGATTCGCCCCGGACAGGTAGGGATGGTGTTCGTCATGACACGGCGGTCAGATGTGAGTAATGTACATCGCGTAACCACTTCTCGTCCCACGAGCCCCGCTCCGTGCCTGGCAGGCAAGCTCCGACTCGCCGTCACGAGGAGCAGGACAAGTCCTCTCAGCATCAAACACAGTTGGCGACTTCTGCACACCCAAGCGGATGTGCTTTGTTGCAACCGCTTGCGCCGGCGATTGGCTTAGCGGCGATTACGAGCCCTGGTAGACCGGACGAAAAAGAGCTCCTGATGATCGCATTGATGTCATCGCCTGATAATCCAAGCTTTCGATTGCTCCCAAGTGTTCCCCCCTTGGCAGTCAAGCCCAGAAGCACGCCGAGGCCCCTACCCATGCCGACCACGGACACGAAGGCCTTCCAGGTGCATCAGGCAAGCGCCGCAGAGAACACAGTAAGCAAAATCCTAGACTTGGGTCATCTCAGAAGCATTTGTCTGGCCCTCCTTGGAAGCTCCGCTTACCCCTGGCGGTTGGCTCGCTACCTGCATTCTTCCCATCTTCCATCCTCCTCCCTGTGGAGGTAGTGAATGGAGGTGAGTTGGGATGGGGGCTTGCCACCCGTTGCTGTGCCTGAAGCAACAAAACCGCTCTTTCTGAAGCTACGATTTCAAAGTCATGCCTTGGGAGTTGGGAGCTTCTCTCCCCGAACTGGAGAGCCCTCCGGGTGAGCCTCAAGCCTCAAAGGAGCCTCTCCTACTCCGAGATGACTTCCAGAGTCCCAAAGGAATCAGACTGCCGCTCTTGCAGAGTCCGTGTCTGTCAGTGTGCTGCAAGAGGTCCGCCTCCAGCACGTTGAAGGCGCAGTAGACGTTGGTGGCCTCCCACAAAATACCAACGACCGCAAGCCACTCGAAAGCTTCATGCTGCAATGGCGAGCTGCTGGGACGGGGTGGGTGTTTTAAGTGTGAAGCGCCAGCCCTGCTTGAAAAAGCTTTCACAGGAGAAGGCACGTCAGCGTGTTCCTTCTCCAGCAGCCCCGGGAACCAGGAAAAACCCGAGGGACAGCTACCCCCCCCCGCCTTTCGCATGCGCTGCTCCCTCCTGGGATGTGTCAACTCAGCAGCGGGAAGAGACCGAAGCCTCACCCTGAAGCCTCTTAAGGGGACCCCAAGGATTCCTGCCCCAGACTCTCCGACCCCAAGTGCACTTGGTTCCGGTGCACCTCTATTTGAGAGCAGAGCGGAAGAAAGCTAGGGGAGGGAAGTGGCAATTGTGTATTGCACAAGCGAGCAGATGTTGGTAAGCGACTAGGAATGATGCAGTGCTCGTTGTAGGCCTGCACTGAACGATGCATGGCAAAGCTCGTTCCTCAATGAAAGAAACAGTA